GGATAATTGACTCAAAGTTTGGTCCTCAAAAACTCTTTAGCTGTGAAACTAAACGAGCTGGCATCGTACTCTTCCTTTTTTTGTTGAATCGAGTATACTAATAAGCTTTCTTTTTTTCTAAATGTTAAAGCTACTTGGGAAGCTTTTTCAACTTTTGCATCAGTCAGTAGATCACAATTAGGCGCGATCAATCAATCTAGAAAAAAGCTCCATCATATTGATCACAACCATTTTTTCCAGCGTCTGCTAAGGCTTTGTTATTGTTTTATCTTCTTTATCTTAGACTAAACCTTTCTCATCCTTTCTCAGTGCCTTATCCAGAAAAATAACAATTGAAAATGAGACCTTACCGCTATTGCTTCTTCTTCAGATTTTCGTATTCTGCCTATGTACTACTTTACGCATCAGCAATCGGACAAATCACAATCATCTCTGTGCTAATGTGAAACCATGGTAAGTGCATTAAGGGATTTTACGGTAGTGTTATAGATTTCTATCTTGCTGATCGAAAAAAAATTTCTGTGGGCCAAACGAGTAAGCGAGGTATGCTTTCAGCACATTCTTATACTTTAGAAACAAGAAATTGGTGCTCGATAAAACCCATTATTATCAAGGGGAACACCGAACTTGGGTCTTGCATAAATACCTCATGCGATTTCGTCGCCACAAAAAATTAGTAGTCGCGATATCATAGCAGCCATTCCTCGCATTGGATCGCACATGAATGGCACACTTCAAAAGTCTTTTTGCGTACTCACAGGAAATTTGCTGCAACTTACTTCCTCTCATCTCTTTTCGGCGACTTATGCGTACTTTGCTTTTATTATCAACGGTCATTTTAACTGTGAAAATTTGTCAAAGACCTTCAGTAGGAGTGTTTTCAATTAAAATGGTTTTATCATGATAGCTTATTATGATATTATGATCAATAGTATCGAGGGAAAGTTTTTCTTGCAGACTTATGAAAAGTATTCAAGTCAACAAATAAAATCTAGAAATAAACCCTCCATGCTATTGAGGAAAGCAGAAAAGAAAATTCTTAGTATTGAAAACATTCTAAACTTCCTACTACGCGTGATTTCGTCGCGTCGCTCGGGAGCGACATAACTGTGTGATACTTATGGCCTGAAGTGATTAGCATACAGAATTATCTTAGATTCTTCCAAGGATTATTATTCAAGCATGTAACTCACAATGTGTTGCTGAGCGTTTGAAATCTAAACTTACTTCCATAGGTAGTATATTGGTATACATCTTGCCGCTCAATACATAAATCCCTAGAAGAAGTAGTAGTAAATTTGTAACCATAGCGCACATATCATTTGTATTGTCATCTGATGTAACTGATCATAACATTATGGTATTCATTTACGATAATGTCACCACAGAAAAGTACAAAAATATGCAAATTAAGAAATTGCAGCTAATAGGAAGCTAAACACCTAAAAGGTCTTTGCTAACAGAACACATGCATTTTTGCTTAAAAACAAAGAATTGCAATATGTTTATTTCAAGATTAAGGGTCACATATGCCTATAAAAACAATACTTTCTTGGCACTGAAGAGTCTTACGTGCTCTAT